GAAAGAAGATAAACAAGTTGACAAACTGATATATAACAGGAATTCAAAGAATCTCCGACACTCTCCTAAGCTATCAATGTTTTAAATTAAAATTCCGGTGCAATTTAGGCAGTCATTAGTGTCTTTGAAGCAGATACACATTTACATGGAGGGGAACTTGGTATTCCATATCACTTGGAATAGAAGGTGAAATTAGAAAAAAAAAGTAATGAATATTTATAATAGGTAAGAAAAAAATGATATCTATCCTACTAACTATGCAAAATTCAATACCTTCCCAAAAAAACTCTTAAGAAACAACTTAAACTTCGAAAGAGCTTATGAATTTCAAGTAACAACCTTGCCTGGAATTTCTTATAAATCATTCTACAAACAGCTGTAGTACATTTTTTTTACATTAAACAGGATATTAAATTTGATAGGAAACTAGTGTGACTTCAGTTGGATTCCCTTTGTTCCAAGGATTTTGTTTTAATAAATCACTAACCACATTCAAAAAAGCAGCAGCTGAACACAAGGTTCTAGACAGACTTTCTATCCTGGATGCGGGGTATAAGTGGAAGAGGATTATTACCATCACCCTCAGCTACAACAGCCCAATGAATACATCCTGGTTTATTTTTACTAAAATAAGTGGACACACATCCTTGAAAAAACAGGCAAGAGTTTAAACACACACTGAACCTAAGTGAGCATAAAAATAATTTTTTGATGGGACGCTTCTGTATACCCCTAAACACTGCAGTTCAAGTGATCTCTAAAGCCTTTTTAGAATCTTTATAAGAGCATGGGACTGCTACTGACAAATAACTGAAGTCCCAAACAGGCACACAAGCATGCTTACACAAGATACCCAGGAATGCACATACTTACACTGAGAACTAAAAAGTGCCCTGAGCTCTTAGAGCTTAGTACTGTACTTTACTCACTTAAAAGGCTAGACCAAGGTTTACTATTCATGTTTGCAGAAGCATTGCTTAATTTTTATAATAGGTCCTATTACCAATGTTCATCCTGTTGAATGATACACATCATGCTCCTAAAAAAAACAATCTTTTTATGCGCACGTGTCTGAAAAGAGAGTGGCTACACACACATAAAAAGAAAATTTGCAACAGACTAAACAGAAGCAGCAGAAAAAAAAAAAAATTCTCTCTACACGCTCAATTTAACACTTAAGCAACAACCTAAGCACTGGGAGGTTTATGCTTGTTTTCAGAGCAGAAAGCCTAGCTTCATCTCTCACCAGTGCATGTAACATCACAACACAGAGTAAGGCACACTTCATAAACTTAGAGGTGGCCATAAACCTGATGGGTCTGAGATTATACCCTGGAGATACACTGACAGGAGGAAACCCTGGAAACTGACACTGCTTTTCCTCACACTCCCATTAACTAAAAATATTTAAACTCTGTTAGCCATCAACAAACAGCATTGTATGATTAGGTCAGATTTTAAATAATTTTAAAACAATAATAATAACAAGGTGTATCTCTGGTGAGGTAGCATCCAAGATAAATGCAGCTCACATAAGCGCATATATTTTCATTGCAAAAAAAGCAAATCATAGAATCACAGCACAGATTGTTCTGTACTTAATGTTGTCTGTGTAAAGAGGCCCCAATGAAATTTTCAGGGGTGTACTTTAGAACAGGCAAATATATTTCATTTGCTAGTCCCATTCTAATACAAAACAAAGAATCCTTGCATAAACATAGTTTTAAATCTCTTAAAACTAAATGGGAAAATTGACCAATATTGCTTTTGTATAGTCACATAATCCTAAAGGTTAGACTATGTAACAAAATGATGGTGCAGCTATGACAAATTCTTGCAACTGTGTGGCTTCATTTCAGTTATTCTTACTATAATAACCTAGTTTTGCTATTGTTATCTTATTGCCATTAATGAATTCTAGGTACATGCTACTGTTACACCTTCATTTCAATAACCTAAGAAGTTTATTTTATTTATTTTTAAATAATACTCTCAGAGGTAGACAGTATAGATTCACCCATCGTGGCCCATTCAAAATTACCTAAAGAACAACAGCCAGAGACAAAACACAGTGTAAAAGTTACTAAAACATTAATAGACAGTACAGGGAGATTAAGTTTCAAGTCACCAGTATGGCACCACAGCTCACCCTCTCCTTGCTGCAGCTGCTGCGAGCATCTCTGCGGCGGGTCCCTGCCAAACTGCGTGAAATCTGGGGGCAGGAGAGCTGATTCCCCGGGGCCCACCTTAAGTAGAGAGACAACTGAAGTACCAGGTTACGTTCCGCAGCAAGCCACGCAGGCGGAGAGAAGGGGCCAGGGCCGCCCTCCCTGCCCCGCCGGGGAGAGGCGGGGTGTGACTGTGAGGGGGTCGCCTCGTCGGGGCAACCCCTTATGCTGCAGGAAATCCGAAAAAGGTGATTTACGGGTAAGGTTCATTCCCATCCCACTGAGCTGACAGTTCAGCTGAAAAGTATTAATCTGGGCCCTGAAAGCTTGTTAAATAACGAACTTTACCCTTAGGCTGAAAAAAAACCCGGGGTGGGCGGGGTTGGGGGGGAAAGCAGTGTTGCACAAGCTTATCGGTGCCCACTTGCTGCAGAACATGTCCTTGCAAGAGCTGTGTATGAAGAACTACTACTGTTTATATCTGTAACGCTTTCAAGTTGCTGCAAATCTCTAGACAAGATTAATACATGAAAATTACCTGCTTAAAACCATGATATCCTTATTTTCTGCCCAGCTTTTTCTATGTTGGAGGACCCTCAACTTCATCCACACTTTTTAAAGTGTTTTTTAAAGCTAAAGTTCCTAATGTAGGAGTAGAGAGAAATAAAGATAATGTGTAAAAAGCTGACCCAAAGGACTGCATAACCTGCACTTAGGCATCGGCTTAACATGGAGTAACATGGCATATGGATGGAAAGTCAAAACAAAGGAAGCATAGCACCTATGAATTTCATTGAAGTTAACAAAGTTCATGCAGATACTTTGTACTGACAATACAATCATATTTTCCTTGAAACAATTATTTGCAGTTTACTTATTTAATCCTTTCATAATTACTTCAGATATTCATCTCAATATTCACTCATCACAGTAACAAACACATGCAGTACTCACTCAAACCGTTCCAGCAAAAGCAACAAAATCACAATTAAAGACTTCCAACATGACTAAATCTCTTTGGATCCAGAGTCTTTCTCTCTCTCTGCTTACTACTCACCAATAGTCAGGCACAAAAACGTTTTTCTATTAACGTAATCACTTAACACATGCTATCCCACTCACTTCCCAGTCTCTTGACCTTTCCTTCCTTTGGTATGCTGACAGTTCCTCTTTTTCCAGGGAGTACTTGCACTTCCACACAATGCAGGACAGTGGCAGCTCCCAAAGACTTCGAGGTTTCTTCCAGAAACAGAGTGACTGTCCACACCATGTGCATGGGATCTGAGGTGAATACCTTCACTATCAGCTGTTCTACCTCAGTAGTTTAAGTGTACAAAATATTCACTGTGCTCCAGTTTGGATTCTTTCTGTCTTTTGAGCATAAACTATTCTGAGGCTTTACAACTCAAATGCTAGTTCCACCCAGTAAATATCTGACTTACAGTCATGGGTTGTAAAGCATTGAGGTATCGTTACCTTCCACTAAGTTTTGGGGTTTTGTTGGTTTGGTTTTTTTTAAAACTTGTATAAATAGTCTAAGTGATGAGTGGCCAGCTGAATTGATTTTGTGTTCCTACTTTTGAATAACTTAAGTTTGAAAAACACTTGCTAAACATTTAAGCAATATGATCACAGATAGCGTATTAGCAGTGTTGCAATGTAAGCATTTGTCTATAATTAAAATACTTTAAGAGAGACTACAGTATAATCAATAACCTTTTCCATGCAGAATATTATCTGAAAAGTATGACTTCTGTGTACAACACATAATCTACAACAGTTTGAATACCTGTAATAAGTACAGCTAATGTACACTATCAAAACTTGACTGCCCATGTAGTGACAGTAAAATCTCACAAATGTTTAAGCAGTAAAACAAACAGCATGAGAATGGGGGAAGGGAGGAGGGAAGTCAGAATATTAGCTTAGCTTTTAATCCACACACTTCCCTCCCTGCCCCATGCTGAAATGAATAATGAATGAACTGGGTCATGATTGCTTTCAATAAGTATGTCAGAAACAACGAGACAAGGCTAAGAGCTGTAATATGCTCAGACCTCAGTGGTCCTCCTAACAATGCCACATGCTTATACAGCCACATGCTATGCATCTTTTTTATGCATCAGCATACCGGGAACTGCAAAACCACAAGCACCAAAGTACCCAAGGTACTTGAATTTTGTTACGAAACTTACTATGCAAACAAAAATTAACAAAGAATTTGTGTCTGGAATCCGAGAATTTAAGCGCAACTTTCATTGTGCGTCTGGGTAGAATTGAGATTTTCGAGTGTCACCTTACATCTCCCGTCAACTCTGCACGCAGCAGCAGCTCACCCAAAGCGTCAGTAACTCCAGCAGCCCAGCTGCTCCCCTGAGTGTTTCTCAGCCTTCCCTCCCGCGTTCCCCAGCCCAGGACCTCGCACCGAGACGCCCGCGGGGCGCGCCCTCCCTGCCAGGGCCGGCAGCAGCCGTAGCCCGCGGGCCACTGTCCCGTCCCAGCTCTGCTATCAAAGGCAGGGCCGGGATCGCTCCCGCCGGGCAGCCCCTGCACCGCGGCAGCACCGCAGCCCGTGGGCTGCCTCTGCCCATCAGGTGTTTCGCATCTCTTTGTAAATGCAGCTGTTCCCCACGCAGCCTTGGACTCCAGCAACCCTGAAAATCCAGACACTTTAAAAAAAATTCTTCCCTCACTTTTAAGGAACCCCGCCACTTCAAAAGGCTTCTCACAGATCTTTTCCTTGGAGCGATTTCCAAGCCGTTCCTTCAAGGGGACTCGCAGCCACATGCCTAGAGGAGCGACCTGGCATCTAGAGCGGGGGCACGGTCTTACCTTTGGCTCTCCCGCGTCGGGCTCCTCCTCATAGTACCCCTGGCCGGATTCGTAGGCGGCGGCGGCGGCTGGCTGCCGGGGTCCCAGGAGCACGGCGCCGGCAGCGAGGCAGCAGCCCAGGGAGAGCACCTCCAACAAGTGCATGGTGCAGGGCGGAGCGGGGCCGCGGGGCAGCCGGAGGAATGCAGGCAAAATTATGAGGCTCCTTCTCTTCCTCTTCCCCCCTTCTCTCGCTGTCCTTCTCCCCCCTCCCTCCCCTCGCAATATCCAAGGCAGTAAAATCCGTGGGATGGAGAAGATGCGGTAGCAGAAGCTCCTAGACGCCTTCAGGAGAGTTCCCAACTTTCTCAGCCGCTTCGCAAATTCTCACCAAAGTTATCCAGAGTTTGCCAGGTGAAAAACCCACCAGGAAACCGGACATCCGAGGCTGCGCTCACTCAGGAGCAGGGGAGGTGGAAAGCGCAGAGAGGAGGAGGAGGGAGGGGAAGGAGGGAGAGAGCCAGCGAGCAGCAGAGCGAGACCGGTCGCACCGGGGGAGTTCCCTTGTCTGGGGCCGGGGGCTCCGGGCCGAGGGGCTCTGGCGCTCCCGCCGCTGTGCCGGACGCCTGTCACCGGCGGCGCGCCCGGGGGGTGCGCGGCGCCTGGGGCTGCGCGGCGGCGGCGGGGGCTGCGCATGGCGAAAGCGCCCTCTGCCTGCGCCTCTGTGCGCTGAGAGGGGCCGGCCGCCTTCCTCCTCCTCCTCCTCCACCTCTTCCTCCTGCTGCTGCTACTGCCGCGGCGGCGCCGCCTGCCGCTGGCGCCCTGTGGAGCGGAGCGGAGCAGAGCGCACCGCGGGCAAGGGGCCGCCCGGAGTGCGCTGCGGCGCTGCCGGGGAGGGGAGGAGAGCAGAGCGGGCCCGGCCCCGCAGAGCTGGGTTCGTCCCGGCTTCGACGAGATGAAGCCCCTTGTAGGTCCAAGCCCAGAGGGGAGAGCAACGTGACCAGCTCATTTCATTTGGCTCCGAAACCAAGAGCTGAAGTTGGGCACAACGTGCACAGAGGAATCATGCAAGGCAATTTCTGTGAATCCTAATCAGTTACTTGCTGAGCAGTGTTGGCAGCTTCACTAAAGAGAGTATGCAGCTATTTTTGGCCTGAGAAAAAAAGATTTTTTCATATTAGAAAGAGTACTATAATTATTTGTAACCTTCCTATCAATGACATCTTGGAGCTGTCTTCGAAGAGAAGTAACACCCCATTCAGAGTCCTAAATAAAATCGAGTACAGATACTGTGTTCCAGTTACACTGTGATTAAAAGTTGGTTTTTAAAAATGAACATTGCAATCAAAGAAACACACTACAGCCTGCTCAGATCTCAGCTATGCAAAAGGAAAAAGTTATTCTCTATACTATTATTTTTTGCTTGATGTGATCAGCATTATTGAACCTTGTGTAAATATTTAGAAAGCTTTTCAATTGTTTTCTGCATCACTTGAGTACATCTTTTGGTAACAAGACTGTATGGGAACCAACTGTGGGAGCAGATCCCTGACTGCCTTGATTGGATGCTGGCAGTCTCCTCATGTTACACTGCTCTTATTCTTCGGGAATCCCATTATGTAACTATTCTGGGAGCAACATTCTGGGAGTTATACATAAAGGTGTCTCTAGTAGGCCTTTAGGTACCTCCTGTTCTTTTTTATTTATTTCTTATAATTTCCAAGACAGTATTTCAGCTTGCTGCTACACAGATAAATTATTTTGGTGCTAGAAAGTAATCACTTCATTTGCAATCAGAATGAAATCTGAAGTTTAAATAGATCTGCATTTTGAGAGTTTGTATAGTTATTAGAAAATTATTGAAGAACTAACATTTTTTAAACACATTACAACAGAGTAAAGCAATGAAATAAAGACACAGTAGATTTTAAGCAGAACAGTTATGAAGATAGAAAATAGTGTACATAAATTAAAAGGCCCATTGTTCTTCATGGGACCCTTACAGCACTTGAGATCAAAGGAGAGGATTAAAGCCTAGAGAGACCATAAGATGCAAACCCCATCTAAATTGAACTACAACATTACTGATTTGAGTTTAAACATGTTAAAATCTCTCAAAAACATCACAGGCTGATGTAGAAAGGAGGTTCTCTTGCAGCATGTAAATAAAACCTGCCTGAAAAATCATGCACGGATAATATTATTTCAGTAACTGAGTGCAAGGAGCCTTCCCGAAACTAAATCACAAAACAGGATGGAACATACCACTCCTGCTGTGCCATCATAATATCAACTGTCTTCATTATTTACTTCCCCCATTCCCCAGCACTTTCATTCTCCCACCCTCCCGCATTCATAGAACATCCATCATGGGATCAAACGTTTTTATGTAATAGAGCATTTCTACCAAGTGGCCCGTATAGCAAGTTTAACATGTATAATTGAAAGCCAGTAATCATAGTAATAGTGGCTCAAGTCACAGTCTAATCAAAAGATTTAAAAAATAAAGTGGTTGAAGTCTGTAATACTTTATAGGTTCAGTGTACAAACAAATAAATATACCATTGGTTCTGGGCCACTAAGGTTTTGCTTAATCTAGACTGTATTTCTCTCCATTCCATAGAAGATGCCTAATTTAAAGGTTTCCCCATTTAAATATATTTTCTCCTTCCACCATCTAATGATTAATATTCCTCTCGTGTCTTCAACTTAAACAGAAATCAGCCTATGGGACAATTAATTTACAATTCTAAGTGACACTGTACACTGAGAGTGAACTGACCTTATAGACACAAATGACTCAAGAGATATCCCTAACAGTGTAGAGACACAGGTCTGGGTCTTACCCTGTTGTGTTTCAATGGCAGCAATTGAAAAAGAAAGGATTTTTTTTTATGTCAGAAGTAAGATTCCTTCAAAATATTTTTGTATTGTTTTAAGGATCCATTTAAAAAATCCAAGCCCCAATCTCTTGTTCAAGTTGGTGTAACATACATCTGACAAACACATTCCTCCCCTCTATCTAGACATATCTGGTATGTTCCTTTCAGATACATTCTGCTTCTAAAACACAGATATGTTTCAATACCTGTTTCCTATTTCCAGTTATTAGAAAAATGAAAAGTCAGAAAGGAACCACTACAAGAAATGTGAGCTGAGACTGGGAAATAGAAGAGAGTCAACAGCAGGGAGAAAAATCAGTAACATGCTTTCATAGTGTGGTCTATTTGCTTATTGTAGAGTTAAATACTAACAAATGTTTTCTTTTCACAGAATGTCATTTCTATTATCTTCTTATTTATTTTTTCTGTTTGATTCAAAGCAATCTCCACTGCATTCTCCTATTAACTAGACATGTAGAGGCACCCAAGAGTTAAAACCACAAGTAGTATGGTTTGCTTTTTTTCAACACATATAGTCTTGTGTGTTGAAACTCACACTGGTGAGTTTCAGTGGAATTTTTGTTTACTGTAAATCTCAAAGTTAGAAAACATTGTTCCCTGAGTGCAGCAACTCAAAAGACTGTGGAAGTGCCATTCTGGAGTCATTCCAAAAGATGAAGGCATTGTAGTAAGCTTCCTCAGTTCCTCTACAGATAGGACTCCCCTATATTTCCTCTCATGCTTAAAAGCATAGAAAAAAAAATGGATATTGATCAGTGTCTTAAATATCAATGTTCTATGTAGATACTGTAAATTAGCTGTAAATGTATAGTGAAAAAAGAAAGAAAAAGAAAAGGCAATTCAGATTCAGTGCCAAAGTGAACAGAACAGCTGCTCATTGATGCATTTTCTGACCTTGCATTATTCAATCCAAAGTTTTATTACACATTTTTATCGTATTACTTATCTACTCAGAGTAACCAGCTTTACAGAAGACTTAGCTACTGAAAAATGTTTGTACAGTGGATTTAGGCTGTAGTCCACTTCTCAAAATCTCTTATTTGTATAAAACATGATTTAGTGGAAATATTTAGGAGTACTACCAGTTTTACTGATTAGGTGTGTAATGGAGTTCCTCGCTTAGCACAAGCACATTCAAAAATGTATCTTTTTTTGGTACATGCCCTCATTTAGGAAAGGGTCTAAACATGGTAGCTTGAAGATCATCAATAGCAATTGAAATATTTTCCTTAACTTTGATCAGGCATCCTCACTGTAAAACTTAAACCAATGGGAACCTGTTGTACACCAAACCTCCAGCCAAGAATCCTAAAATGTAATTTTCTCCAAAATTATTGTCAGGAAAAATAACTTCAGTGCAATGAGAAGGACATCATTGGTGCAAAATCATTTACTGCAATGCTTGACCTAGCAACCTGCACTTTATTATCTAGAAATGTCTCTTTTGTTTAGTATAAAAGTTAGTGCCTTTTGAAAATTAACTAACAAGACAAGAATCCTTAGTCCTCACCCCTTTGACTCCAGTTGATATGCAAGGATTACAGGATTATTGGGATTTCTTTGTCCTCAATGATTCCCTTTTAAACTGTTAAATTCAAAACTGTTGGCATCCAGCATTAGAATTTCTCTATGCTACAGACGAAATGACTGCAATAGTGTAAAACCCTTGCAACCTTGGCTATAATAAGGGGTTAATATAATGCAAAAATGGACAGCACAAGGCTGCATCTCAAGAAAAGAGTTTGAATTACTCAAAGTAAATTACATGTCTCTAAAGCTGCCCTAAATTTAGAATGGAGAAAGCCCTGGCATACATTTTATTCAGCTGACTTATATTAGGATTTTTTTTTTACCATGGTTTTTCTTCCCTCTTGTGGTGTAAGGTCTCACAGAAGAACAGGTATGCATAGAATATTGATTTATATCCTGTAAACTGATTATTATTTTTATGACCTCTGACTATAAACAATAAAATGACTGATTGCAAATTTATGCTTGTTCTTAACTGAAAGTGGTGCACAATCTAAACTGTATAGCTGAAGTCATGTCACTAAATAAACAAAATTAGATTCAACAAAACATATTAGGATCTAACAGCACATAACCACTAAACATAAAAACACTTAGCATGATATATACCTTCCTGCAGTAGTCTTCAAAGTGACAATCTATGAGATAGCATATAAAATTCAGGAATATAACAGGACAGAACAGTCCTAAACCAATTCAAGGGACATTTCTATATAGTTGCTAAAACAATGGCAGAAATAATTATTTCTATAAAGAGATGCAGTTTCCACTAACTTTGTTCTTGCATACCTCTCCTCGACTCATATGTATTCTGCTGCATTCCCTACATTTTTCTCCTGTGCTTCAAATTTTCTGTTCAATATTTTACCTATTGTGGAAATTAAGAATATGTTAAACACTTCAAATGTAAAATGCTGAAGCATTAAAACATATAAAAATTGTCAAACAGTATTGACATAAATTTGCCTCCAAACACAGAATAGTGTAATGAGTTATTGTAATGATCCTTATTTTTCCTAAATAAGTATTCTTTACCAAAGTAAATTCTTTTCTTCTATTTAAAATAGCCTTTTACATATTTGAACATATACCCTTCCTTACTTAATCTTCTTATTTTAAGCTAAATAAGATCAGTTTTTCCGACATGGCTTTATAGATTTTTGTTTTCTAAAGTTACACTTATCCTTAT